ACAATCCATCTCTGATGTATCGTGAGCCAGTTGACATCCTTAATGTATCTAGTAATGTGTTCCCTTCTCGGAACAGCTAATGCATACCTGATACAACTATTTTGCACTTTTTATATCCTATAAGCTTCCGACTACGTCAGGATTGGACCATATACCGCATCAGCGTATTCGACTTTGCTGAGAATCAAAGAGTTCTTGATCTTGGTTTGACTAGATAATACAAGTAAACTGTAAATTGTCTTCAGTTTAGCGTATGAATTTTGCACAACCTTGGAAACGTGATCGTGAAACATGAGATGTTCATCCACTATTACTCCTAAAATTTTCACGGATTTTATATGAGGCAAGTCTCCACCTTCCAAGTGCAATTCTATCAAGTTACTATCGAAATTACTTTGTATGGACTTAATAGTTATGAATTGATAAGTAACCCGTGATCGTTATACCACTTTGCAACACGATCTAGATCACAAGACATTCTCCTGTTTGCCTCCAGGAAATTTGGAAGACAACGGTCTTGGGGTGTACCGTCAGTAATTGCTACAATAGATTGTAGGACGCCTTTATGGCCTCCATGAGTTTCATAGTTTTTCTTGTTCTTCAGAAAGACGCTCTATTTTGCGGGTATGTTACAAATATGTATTTGTAACAAATTGTTCATGCTTTTGATTTTTATCATATGATTTATCAGCCTGAAGTAATAGAGCACTGACGCTGACACGGAACAGTAGAAGTCTAGAAATAATAATAATAATAATAATAATATGCCTTTATTTTACCTGGCGGGTATATCAGCTAATAGCTGCTTTTGGTACCAACCAAGGCTACATAAGATTAAAAAACATAAAAAAAAATCACAGATACAAAAACATAAAGATCAAGACATATAGTACTGAGAAGTAACAAGTACAACATAATAGTGTGTAAAGTGTGTAGACAGATTTAAATCACATACACTCGCGCACTCACTGAGACAGAAATAATAAAAAAGGAAATATATAAAAAACATAAAAAAGAACAGGGAATAAGTAACATTTAGCTATGTAATCACAAGTAAGAAGCATTCACGTAAAGATCAGTAGATGATAAAGTTAAATGTACATAAGTCAAACGCAACCAGACACTTAATTTGGAATCGCAGCAGTTACAAGATGAAAGCTTAGTATAAAATTAGGTATTATCTAGAACAAATTGCTTTATTTTAACTTTAAAATCATTGTTACGCAAACCTTTCAGATCTAATGATAGACAATTATAAAGGAAAGGCGCTATGTATGAGAAGCACTTTGTGAATTGTGTTGATTTTTGGGGGGCATATCGAGGGTATAACCTACAAAGCGTAAGTTCGCCGACTGATGCTGACTTCTGAATGGAAGTTTGCTGCTCAGATATGCTGGTTATTTGGTCTGTACTATGAACAACAAGTGTACAATCCATCTCTGATGTATCGTGAGCCAGTTGACATCCTTAATGTATCTAGTAATGTGTTCCCTTCTCGGAACAGCTAATGCATACCTGATACAACTATTTTGCACTTTTTATATCCTATAAGCTTCCGACTACGTCAGGATTGGACCATATACCGCATCAGCGTATTCGACTTTGCTGATAATCAAAGAGTTCTTGATCTTGGTTTGACTAGATAATACAAGTAAACTGTAAATTGTCTTCAGTTTAGCGTATGAATTTTGCACAACCTTGGAAACGTGATCGTGAAACATGAGATGTTCATCCACTATTACTCCTAAAATTTTCACGGATTTTATATGAGGCAAGTCTCCACCTTCCAAGTGCAATTCTATCAAGTTACTATCGAAATTACTTTGTATGGACTTAATAGTTATGAATTGATAAGTAACCCGTGATCGTTATACCACTTTGCAACACGATCTAGATCACAAGACATTCTCCTGTTTGCCTCCAGGAAGTCGGAAGGGTGGTAAGACAAATACAGTTGGGTATCATCAGCGTAAGACTGAATAGAACAATATTTAACGTAACGACTTAGATCGTACGTATACAAAGTAAACAAAATTGGACCAAGTATGGAGCCCTGCGGTACCCCCTTAAAAATAGCACGCTTATCGGACATACTGCCGCCTACATTGACTAGCTGTGACCGCTCATGCAATAACTCCTAAACCACGTAACAGTGCTATCAGAAAAGCCAAGATAATGCAGCTTAGCAAGAAGCAATTCATGATTGATAGAACCGAAAGCTTTGCTGAGATCAACTAGAATTGACGTTGTGACACAAGACTTATCCATAGCCCTGCTATAGTCATCACATATGTGAATCAAAGTGGTAACCGTACTGTGACCTTTTCGAAACCCCGAAATACTCCAGCCTTTCGGAAGGACAGACTATGAAAATCAAGGCGTCCTACAATTGTGGGATCTACTGACGATATGGCCCTTAGCAGCATTCTTAGGTTGATTAAATCAAGCTATAGGCTATTATGATTTTCCGTAGCAACGAGTGAATCATCTACTACTACTCGTCATTGCTTCTCAAGGCCGTCTGGAGGACGTTAGCCTTTAGTTCATAGTCACTGTAATGTCAGTGTCTGTTGTTAGTCTGTCAGGTCTGGCGGCCCAGAAACCATACAAGTGAAGCATCTGATGCAGACGTCCAGAGATGTGCTTCCTTTTGAGAAAGTGTTGTTTCAAAATTGTACCTACTGTTGCTAAGGTCGACTTCAAGCTAAGATGTTGTTCTACCAGATACAGTGGATAATTGAGAGGCACTTGAATACAGATAATCTGTTTTTCACGACCCCATATGTCGGAATGAGACAACAAATAACAGCTGAGTATCATTAAAAATACCTTACATCGACAAGTGAAATACAGGGGGGAAAGTTTACATTCCAAATTTGAATTACGCGGCAACCGTATATGCGAGGAAGTGGGGAGAGGTCTTGATCGACGCGTTCGGCGTGCGGGTTAAATAGTCACAATGGAACGTTGGACCGGAGCACAACGTGGTTTTGCTATCGAGGCTTACTTTAAGAGTGGTGATTCATACGCAGCTGTCCTTCGGACAAACCTAACGAAGAAAAGTGGGACAAACCTAACGAAAAAAGGTGAGACAAACCTAACGAAAAAAAGTGAGACAAACCCAACGAAAAACCTGGGATAAACCTAACGGAGTAGTGAAACAAACCTAACGAAGAAAAGTAGGACAAACGTAACGAAGAAGGTGAGACAATCCCATTAAAAAAAGTGAAGCAAACCTAACGGAAGTGTGGGACAAACCTAACGAAAAACAGTGGGACAAACCTAACGAAAGAAAGTCGGACAAACCTAACAAAAAAAGTAGGACAAACGATATAACGTTGGCCGACCAAGAGATGCCATTGCAAATCCTCGGCGTTATGTACGGAAGCATTACGCTGCTTTGGGAATCCCTAGGACAACATTGCATGGCATAATGAAGTAAAAATTGGTTTTCATCCTTATAAAATCCAATCAGTCCATACTTTAAAGGAAATTGATTACGTATTACGGAAATCTTGTGCTGAACCGATGTTGAATTTTTTTCTTACGCAGCGCAGACTCCAGAACGTTGTTTTCAGTGACGAGTCCCATTTTTACTTAGACGGTTATGTGAACAAGCAAAATTGCAGATATTGGGCACTAACGAACCCAAAAGAGAAATATTAACAACAGCTACATAGTCTACAGGTGACTGGTTGGTGCGCTATATCCTCTAGCGGTATTATTGGGCCGCATTTCTTTGAAGATGAAAACGGTTATGCATTGACAGTCAATACCGAGAGATACAAAGACATGATTGACACTTTTTTTGATCCTATTATAAGAACAGAACGTCGATTTAATAGAAACACATGGTTTCAACAGGATGCTGCCACTGCCCATACTTACTATCGATGTACACGGTGAAAGCCCTTTTTCCTCAAAAAGTTATATCGAAGTTTGGAGACATTCACTGGCCTTCTAGGTCACCCGACCTCACGCCATGCGATTATTTTTTGTGGGTTTATCTAAAGTGTCAAAATGTGTGTGTCCAATAATCCACGAACACTGGAGGAGCGTAAAGACAACATTCGACGAGAAATAAACAACATCACTCCGGAACTCTGCAAGAGAGTGTTTCAGAATTTGCGCGCGCGATTAGAAGAGTGTGTCCGAAGGGATGACTAACATTATGATATTCAAGAAATAAAACCCGCCTAATTTACGAATATCTGGATAGTAATAAATATTTTGTTTTCATTAAGTTTGTATTTTTTATATGCTACGGATTCATACTTTCTACCAACGCTTTTATTTAGAAAAGTTATGATGCACAAGGAAAAACTGTACAAGCAATATGACTGCTAATGAACATGACTATCTTTCAAGGCAGGTATGCAAAAAAATGTTTAGTGTAAATATTTCTAAATACGGTCGGTTCTAAATACGAGCTGAGTCGAAAATTCTTTCTGCCTTACGTGAATTTTCTTACCGTAAATGGTAAATATGGAGCAGAGCAGCATTTTTAAATGGGGTGCGCGGCAGGTGCATCACTTTGTGCTAGCTGGTGTCATGTGACGTCACTACTCATGCACCGTCAAGATACTTCTCCTAAAATAAACTTCTGGGTAGCGTAATTTTTTAAGAAACTCAAAAGGTTTTTTCAGTGCTATACTCCACTTTACTCAGACTTTTATTTTAATTGAGTTAAAAAAACTTTCTCATTATGTGCTCATAACAGCAAACAACAGACGGACTTCGGTAAACAGATTGACAGGCTAACAGAAATGAGTAGCACGTTTTTTTTGTAATGCGGCCTGAATACCATAATGATTATCCTATTTTTTGTTACCCTATTGTCTCCCATCATTTTACTTGAAATAAGCGTGTACGTACTAAGCATCATATATAAAAGAGCGTATCACTGACAATTACGCATCTTTCCAGATAATTACCCTGAATGATTGATTCAAAGCGACAATACGATGCTCTGTTTTGCATAAGTACTATGTTTTTTCCAGTGCACAACCTGTGATGATCTGCTGGTGGACCTTGCCTACTGTGTATACGATGACAATATTTATTGTGAAAGACATTACGCTGAAAAAATGAAGCCAAGGTGTGCTGGTTGCGACGAGGTAAGTGCGACTACTATACATATGCTAGCTGACCATAATAATACACACATGAAATTACTAGTTATAGATCAGGAGTAATAGATAGCTGTCGCGCAAATATCCATGTGATTTTAATAAAAAAAGAAAAAAAAAACATCTAATCTAGGAAATTTCGATACATCAGGTAAGATCTTTCCTGTTGAGATTTTATTTCCTTTCGTTGTAATGTTTTTAGGTACTGTTGCGTCTTGTAGAACTTCGAATTTCGATGTTTTTCTCACTTGAAACTTAAAGATAGATAGATAGATTATTTTAACTGAAAAAAAGTGTGGATGAATCACGCTTGTCTAGCACATTATTTCCCAAAACATGTATGAGAGGCGCTTGCCTGCGGTGTTACCGGATTGGGCTCCGCATTTAGGGAAAAATATGAGAAGTGGAAAATTTATAATACATATATTAATTAATGAAACACAAAAACGAAAAACCGAAACAAACAACAGTAGCAAAATAAAAAGCGATTCTTAATAAGTATAAAACAAAAAATAACGATAGTAAGCCAAAAAACAATAAGTTGTCAATACTTATAAAAAATAAAAAGTAGTAAAACAAAAAAACTATTCCATGTAATTATAAAAAACAAATAACAAACAGTAAAAAAAGCATTTTTTTTATAATCACATGGAATTGTTTTTCATTTTACTAGTGTTTTTACTTTTTGTTTTTTGTTGTCACTTAGAATAGCTTTTTATTTTACTGTTTATTATTTTTGGTTTTTTATAATTATTTACAAATTATTGTGTGTTAGCTTACTACTGTTATTTTTTGTTTTATACTTATTAAGAACCGCTTTTTATTTTGCTATTGTTGTTTGTTTCAGTTTTTCATTGATTAATATAAATATACATATACAGGGTGACTTCGAAGTTGAGTCATTTATTTTAACAGTGAGTAGATATGATCAAAAGAAATGTTTTTTTCCTTTACCATTTTTCTGGTAAAATTAAAGTAACAAAGTTATAGCCCTTTGGAAGTTTGAGTACCGCCCTGTCTCAATAATATCATGTACTCGTGTTTGGCAACAACGGATATAATCCACCTTATCGGTTCATCGCATCGGAAACAAAAAAGCGAAAGAATTTGGAACGATGTTTATTTTATTCAGTTCAGTTATACTCGTACATACAGTACATATTTTGGTTTATCTTCCTTCTACAATCATTATCTGAAAATTAATGACTCAACTTCAAAGTCACCCTGTATAGATTTTCCACTTTTCATTTTCCCTAAATGCGGAGCCCAATCCGCCAACACCGCAGGCAAGCGCCTCTCATATATGACATATGCACAGACGTCAACGTCGTCATAAGGCAGATGGCGGAGTAAATAATTGTAGAAATGACTGCTAAAAATACGTCTTCATCCACACTTTTTTTTATTTAAAATAGTCATCTGACTAACCTCTAGAAGTTTCAAGTGAAATAACAGCGAAATCCGAAGTTCTACAAGACGCAACAGTACCTTTTTTAATATTGTGTTTTGCAAATATGTTTTTAGTATGTTATTCCAATGGATGACACTTTTTATCTACGGATGTGTTATTTTTCAGGTTTTCTACCATATAATGCCTTTGTAAGCGTTTGTATTTTTTATTGTGAATAAATGCAGGGATGTATAAACTTGCCCACGCGATTTTTTTTCTTTTTTTAGAATAAATCGTCCATAATGATGAAGAACTGTTTTATGTTTGTCAAACAGACAATTCATAAAACAAACGATTCAAATTTTAAGGGTTTGTAGCTTCTATACTTGTACAACCTATACCTATACAACAAGTGACATATTGGGCGCATACGGTAATATTTTCCTAACACTGATTCAGCGCATTCAGACGGCTCCGACGCAGCGAGTTTCAAGCCATTTACAAGGGTTCAGCTACTTGGAAACTGACACTCTATTTTTCAATATTTCTGAATGAAATTCATACAGTATGTTTAGAAGACAATTGCCTAGGGTGCTATCGGGATTTTTGTTGAACGATTTTTTTAAAAAGAGACTAGCGGAAAACATGATAAAGTGGCTTAATAGCATCCTGTAGGGTTTTGTTTTCAGCACACTGTAATAATTGCATTCGAAAATATTGAAAAATGAAGCCTTAGTTTTGAAGCGCGTAAACCTCTATAAATTGGATTTTGCACGAATTTTGTCTACTGTTTCGTGCTGCCAGCACAAGCGACACGGCGGTATGTATGGACTAATAATGGACGTATTCAGATAATTTGGTGGCCCTATTTCATATAATATCGTATATATGTCATTATGTAAATAGGTGTTCATAATCACGATCGCTAGTGCGAAGTAAATGTTCGCAACTAGTTACCTAAATGTAACTTCTGAACTTATGCCCCAATTGTCTCTCTGATCTATCTATCTTACACTGGCCAATAAATGAAACCCAAGATGGTGAATATACTGATTTCCTGACCTTTAGGCTGCTTAGGCAAATAAAAAATGTTTACTCCTCCATCTTAAAGCCGTTTTACTTCGCACGCCAGTGCCACGAAAACTTTCGAAGATAAGATGTTATGTTTTAGATCTTCATCACGAAAAACTATATCACTCATTTCCGCTCGGATTTTTATGAAATTTTCACACAAGGTTATTACCATGCCAAACCTTTATAGCTTCACGCCAGTGGCAGCGGCGCTATAGACAAAAACGAATAAAGTAACATTCGCTGAAACTCCGTTTTTGACGTTTCAGGACTTTCTAATCATTGTCATCAAAAAATTGTAGTACTTAAAAATTGGGGGTTAGGGGAAGGTGATATTAAATGTTTCATCTTTGATATGTGAAACACGTTCTATTTGTTAAAAAGCTTCTGATCCCGGTAATTACAGGTAATTTAAGTGACGAAAATCCGACGATTTGAAAAAATCTGTACCTGCGTTATAGGTTTGGCACCGAGAGCCAACAGATCTCAACTACCGTCAGCAGAGAAGAATAAATTCGGTTATTTATAATGGCGATTATTAGGGCTAGATCGTCAATCGAAATCCGACTCGCAGTCATCTGCCCACTGACGTTTCCTTTTCATCCCACCGTTACCTCAGGAGATGGTCCGCGTTAACTTTACTGCGACGTTTCACGAACATCCCGACACGACGTAAAACATCTTCAATACGTTTTCGTATGTCTTCTAGGAGATCCGATAAGATATTTAGAATTCAGATTTTTTAAAAGTTAGAAATATTGGTGAACATATAAGAAATCCCCATACAAAACACACAACAATTTATTTTTAACACTTTTTGAAGATTTTTGTATTTTTTGATGTAATTTCCGTATTATAAACTATGCAAAAGAACAAGTTCCTCAAGTTTTCAGATATCTGCAATTTTCACCATTGCCTTTATCTTGAATCATTGTAAGATTAAAATAAAGTTTAAAGTAAAGTTTGTTCACCAAAAATAACGATAATATTGTAAAATGAATGTAAAAGCGTACACAGTTTAGAATGGTAAACAAACAGGAAACGCGCAGAAGCAACCTTGTGCGTGGGAGTTTACAAATTAGAAAAATATTACTCTTTTATAGATATTATGGATATGGCGCATTTTTTAAAATTTCCAGTTAATTGCTAATATTAGTAAAATAAAAGTCACTCATGTATTCCACTATAAAATAGTTCACACACTTAAAAGTAGTTCGACTAAAATCGGTTCACAACATTGGTCATAAAATCGGTAAGGTAATCCATAATCGGTAATTTGAAAATGTGTGATTAAAACAAGCAAATAAATTCGTTAAAATCGTGTACAGTCGGTTAATTTTAGATTTTTGAAAAAACTATCATATTCATCTAATACAATACATATAATGTTATTAAAATTCGGCATGGATGAAAATAGAGGAAGAGAGAAAAATTGATAAAAAGACAAAGTAAGTACTTATACAGACATTACAGCAACAGTTTTAATACAATTATGAGACTTATAAAATCATCACAGATATTATAGTTATGTATGTTTTGGCTAGGAGTATTTGAGCTCCACAACCTAAGTTCTCTCTTGAACAGAAATTCTTGATTGATCCTCCTAAAATGCTCCGACAAGACATTTCAAGCTTTGGGATATAAGTACCTGTGACTTCTTAGGCCAACTGCTTTGTAAATTTTTGGCAGTTTTATTTATTTATTATTAATCACGAACATTCTATTTTGACTCATTAATTGGCCACTAGATAACGAGGTGTCGTGTAAAGAGAGCACATCTCCATATTTACCTCTGCAACATCTCTAGCACTGTCATCTGTCAATCTGGCAAAAGTTTTTTGGCCGCCTTCTATTTTTCTCTTGTTTTTTCTGAAAAACGTACTATAAATTTCGATCGTCATTCTCGTCTCTGTGTTTGTTAATATTATATATTGTACCTAAGTGTTCTCTGTCTTTAAAGGTAAGTGTAGGCCTTGAATGTAAACCAATTTGAACAAAATGCTGTCGGCGTCATTCAAGAATATAGAATCAGTTGCTATCAACATGCTGAAAAGAATATTGCTTTCATTCACTTCCTTAGATAAATTTTTTCAGTTGTAATTTTTGTTGGTAAAATATTTCTATTCATTTTTGGGTAATGTGTGTACCGTTTTTCGGAATAGTTCGCAATGTTTGGCCAAATACCGATTATTAAAAAAAGTGAGCGAATAAGCAGAAAAGCGATATTCCTGGCATCGGTAGTCGAAACCGTCGAGAATAGTTTCGAGTGGTAAAATTGTATTCATCCTGCTCGTTCTCGTTTGACGTAAAAAAAAAAACAGGAAATTGAAACAAATCAACCTAGATAAACTCCAAAATCTAACCCTATATTATATATGGTACGTTACTCTAGGTCCGAATTCAAAAATGTGGTCTAGTCGAAAACATCAGAGGCATGCAGACATCCTAATAGTTCCGCACGTTGTATTCAACCTGCGTCACTACCTGGATTTGTGTCCATGAAAGTACCTTGAACTTTTCCCGAATATACATGCCTGCTTTTTTTTCCTGCATTGATCCTACATGACTGGACCATAAAGGCCAGTCAGTACAGACAACCTACTTAGTTCAGTCAAATGTCTTCCGGCAAATGTTTATCTTTTAATTGCATGTTAAATCGGTTAACATGGGATGTTAGCCTGTCATTAATGGTCATATTGTTTACGGACAGTCATAAAATGTTCACAAGTGTATCTTATTATAGTATGTTTGCCATCTAACTTAGGAAATTACTTTTATCGCTTGCATATGAACGTTTTGGGTTAACTTTTGTCTTATCAGATCACTTCAATTAAGTGCAAATTGGCAGAGCTACTTAAGTTTTAATGATCAAGATTGGAACTCGCAAAGAACTTGAAGTCGTATAGTTAACACCTTGACGAAACTGTGTATTTGTGAAAGCTAAGCTACCTACCTAAGTTCTATTTCTGCTTGTGACTGTTTGAAAGACCTACATTGAAAGAAGGCTCTTGATAACCTTCTGTTCGGC